ACAGGCCACTTCCCTATCATGTCCCTGCCACCTACCTTTGGTAGCTACTGGCAGGCTGGATAGAGCAGCTATGTGTGCTATATGTTTGACACCCTCCCCACGCACACACTTAATTAAATGCCTAGGTAGGGTCTGATGCATCCAAAAATCAGTGCAGCATTTACAGCACACAAGCTCTGAAAAATCATCTTATGAAGACAGATGGTGTTTCTTGAACTGCAGTCTCAAAAATAAAAACACAATATGCGTGTATTAGCTTACTGTTGTATTCAGTAAGCATAAATAAAAGCTAAGAAAGTCATTGCTTTCCCCCACCCCCTCTTCTTTTGCTTCTCCAAAAAGATAATAGAATACAATTAATATTTCTTTTTATAAATGTAAAGGATGTTGTCTGCCTAAAGATATCTCTACATTCTCTCCCATGTCTTATTTCTGTAGCTCAGCATGGTTAACTAGTCTTAATGGACAGGGTCAGTAAGGCTTGCCATAATACATCACCTTATATGAAGTTTCAGGAATGCACTGCATTCTTTCAAACAGTTGGAAATATTGGATTGAAACAAAGGAAATGATATGCATAATCTAAATTTACAAATGAACAAAAATTAACTTTTTTTCCTTAATTTAACAGCAGTTGTCAAATAATCTTGCATTTCTAGCTAGGGACGTTGTATTCTTCCTTCTGTTTGCTGGTAGTAAGCAGTATCTTGGGGATACAAGGCTGGGTCTGATAATCAACTTGCATGTATAAACACTGGGCACTAGTGTTGAACTTTAAGCAGCCGCAAGAATGGGAATCCTGAGGGAGGAACTGAGATGTCCTATACAGTGTATGGGGAGAGATGGGCATTTCAGGAGGAGAAGGGGATATGGCCAGTAAGCTGGTTGGGAAGCTGCCTGCATCTGTCTAGAGCTAGGTGATAGGGACTGGTGAGGACAAGAGCATGCCATAAATTCTGACCCCAGGATACTGCACTCAAGGCTGAAGGGAGGCATCTCTACTGGAGGTCCACAGTAAGGTGCTGCGAAATGGCACCGTTCCGTTTCGCCTTGAGTTTTGATGGTTCAACGGAACAGTGGTTCATCTCTAATTTCATTTAGAGTCGAAACAGCTGTTCCGTTCCCTTCCATCAAAACAGCATTGAAACAGCCTTTCTGTTTCGAGTTTTGCTGGGGATGGGGAGTGAGAGCAGCGCGGTCTAGTGTGGGGAATGGGAAATCAGCCCAGCTGGGCTGACTTCCCTTCTCTAGCCTATAGTCAAAACATTTTGAAAGTTGAAATGTTTTGACCAGCCTCGTGTTGTTTCAAGGCTATTTCGAGGGCCTTTGTTTTGTTTTGATTTTGCTGTTTCGACCTCATAAGTGGTCGGAATGAAATCACCGGTGAAATTTTGCACAGCCCTGAGTCCTCTGCTGGAAGTAGGAGTTTATGCCACTTCTTTCAGACAACTAAGCAAAGTTCGCTCCTGTTCCTTAACACAACTGGTGGTGCTGCACCCCTTTTATAGAAGTCTCACCTCTCAAGTACTTGCTCAGGAAGGGTTGGATTCAAGTTCTGTTCTGTCTTGTTTGGCAGTGCCCCCACCCAAAATAGCCTTCAGGCCACTCATGGGAGGTGGGACTGTGGGTTTGGATCCCCTCAGGCAGGACTGTCCCTGAGGGGGGGCAGATCAGGGTGACTGACTGCCTCGGGCCTCATGGACAGTGCCATACAGGCCATACTGCCAGCAGCTTCTGTGGGTAGTCACCCCCCTCCCCTACGCTGCCATTGGCTTCTGCAGGTGGTTTCCATTGATGTGCCCCATGCCCCACACGCCCCTAGGGATGGCTCTGCCCTCAGGTAAGAAGAGGGATTCAGCCTCGCCCCCTTCTGGGCAAGTGCCCCAGGCTATTATGCAAATTGGGTATCACCAGCAAGCTGTGAAAGTGCTATAACAGTTTTATGTGATCCCTGATTCTGCATTATATTAGGCATAGTCTGAAAACACCTGCTGGATTGAGTTTCTCTTATGGTGCTTAGGTGAAGGCTTATCTGCTTTCTGGAGCCTGAGTGAGCTTAAGCATGAGCTTGGTGAGCTGCTCAGCTTTGTCAAGACTCTGGCAGTTCTATGTATCCCATGCACTTGGGAAACTTTGAAGTCAAACAAGGAGGTGCTTAAGGTTAGAGTTTTTGATGTCTCCTGAGCTAGACAGCAACTGAGCAAGGGTTTTAAGGATTGCAGCTCTGGTTTTAAGCACCCAAATTCTGCTTGAGGAGGGTTTGTTTGTTTGTAGATCTGGTGCCTCTCTTCTGGTCCATTGTATAGATGCTCCCCTTTCTCCTCTATAGTCTAATTTGCAAAAGAGAGATTTCCTGCTAATACTGACTAAACTTAATGTTGGTTGTAGTGCATGCAAGAGACAGAATAGTTCCTGTAGGTAGTATGCTCTTGTGCTTTCTCCCCATCCTGCCCCCCAAGTTGCAGATTGGTGTCACCTTTCAATGTCCCACTTCTATGCATTTTTGTTGTTGTTGTTTACTGCATTCTTTGTTTCCTTTGTTGTTGTCAGGTTGCTTCAATCGCTTTTATAAGTCACTTGCCCTCAAAAGTTTATCATAGAACAATAATGAATATAGGGGTTTGTTACTTTTAGAGTGTGTAGTAGGTCCAAAGCAATAATGAGACATGTTGCATTGCATTATGGGGTCATATCACCAGATTCTGGCATTTTTCTGGATCATTGAAACCTGGCCTTATCTTGGTTCTGCCAGATATGGTGTTTGGAGGAGGAAGCAACCAAATGCACTGTTCTCTTAGTGTGGCCTTCAGCTAGCTGTCAGAGTGGCTGTTGGTCATGAACCTAACTGATTCAACATCTCATTTAGGTCATATATGCTCAACCTGTTCTTACATTGTAAAGGAAATGGATGCATGCAGGCTCTATTCTAAAAGATCTTTACAGCACATTTCTCAAAATAAATTATGTTAGATTCTATTAACAGTTTTATAGTAACCAGGAGAAATGGATAAAATGATTAGCACTGTATGGCAGGATTTTGTTTGAACCGTGCCCTTTTGTTAGATTAAAGTTCAAATCACATATTTCTGTTGATCTATATTGGATTAATTCGGGGAGAGACTGTCAAGGTATCACCTAAATTGCAGGTTTTGTGTGGCAAAATCTAAACTTATAAAATGGTGCATTTGGTACTATGGTTTCCTATGCATGTGCTCCAGTGCCTTCTGATTAGAACATGTTGGCCCAAATTCGATAAATGGAGTCTGCTGGAGCACGATTAAAACACTCCAGCATGCTGTAGTGCCTCGTGTATTCAGTGTCCTGTGTTTCAAAGTGGCAGTGAGAGTGTTTTAACTAACATTCAAGGTTTAGTTAAAGTGCCCCTGCCACCATTTTGAAAGGCAGGATGCTGAATACACAAGACACTGTGGGCATTTTAATTAGAGCAGCTCCCAAGAGCCATTCTAATTAAAATGTCGTGTGTCCGTGTCTCCCCCCC